CCTCAGCCTTCTGAGTAGCTGGGACTTCCAAGTGTATGCCACCATACCCAGCTAATTTATTTTATCTTATTTTTGTAGAAATTGGGGTTTCTGTATGTTGCCCGGGCTCCCTTCATCTCTTGATGGATGCTTTGGTTGCTTTTCCCTGTTGGGTATTGTGAATAACATTGCTATGAATAAGGGTGTGAAAATATCTCTTTGAGACTTTGCTTTTAAATCTTTTGGACGTAAACACAGAAGTGGAATTGCTGGATCATTTGGTAATTTTATATGTAATGAGAAACTGTCATGCCATTTTCCATAGTGGCTATACCATTTTATATTCCTACCAACAGTACACAATGGTTCTAGTTTTCCACATCCTCACCAACATTTGTTATTTTCTGGTGTGTGTGTGTGGTAGCTGTCCAAATAGTTGTGAGGGGGATACGGGATACCTCATTGTGGTTTTTAGTTGCATTTAGTTGCATTAATTAGTGATGCTGAACATGTTTTCATATGCTTGTTGATTACATTTGTTCTTGTTTTACATTTTCTTTCTTTCTTTTTTTTTTTTTTTTTTTTGAGATGGAGTCTTACTCCATCACCCAGGCTGGAGTGCAGTGGCGTGATCTCGGCTCACTGCAACCTCTGCCTCCTGGGTTAAAGCTATTCTCCTGCCACAGCCTCCCAAGTAGCTGGGACTACAAGCGTGTGCCACCATGCCTGGCCCATTTTTTTGTGTGTATTTTTAGTAGAGACAGGGTTTCACCATGTTGACCAGGCTGGTCTCGAACTCTTCACCTCAAGTGATCCATCCACCTCGGCCTCCCAAAGTATTGGGATTATAGGCATAAGCCACAGCACCTGGCCTACATTTGTTCTTTAATCAGTTTTCCCCATGCACATTTTTAAGCCACAACGTGTTTTACCTCTGTCAAGCCTCAGCTTGATTTATATGTCCCATTGCTCCAGCTAGTTGAGATCATCTTAGATTCCAAGGTTTTCATGCTTTGTTTACTCTTTCTTCCACCTTCATGTCAACTATATGTTAGATATATCTGGCTCAAATTATTTTCTCCTCTCAACCACTAAGGATGACTAAACTTCTGACTTCCCAAAAACTAGACTGCTTAATAAGTAAGCTGACTTGATCACTTACCTCTGGCATGTTTAGTGTGCTTAGGGTACTCTGGTATAGAATGGGCTGTCCCAGAGATCTTGAATTCCCTTTTGAACTAGCGTAGTTCAAGGACAGAATGGTTTTTTATCCAGAAGACTGCAAGGGGTCTCTTCTGTGGAATGGGATAACCCTTATGGTCCATTATGGCTTAGTTTTCTTTTTTGTTTTTGAAACAGGGTCTTGCTCTGTCACCTAGAGGGGAGTGTAGTGATTGATCATAGCTCACTGCTGCCTCAAACTCCTGGGCTTAATTGATTCTCCTGCCTCAGCCTCCCAAGTAGATAGGACTTCAGGTACTTACCACCAGGCCCAGATAATGTAAAAAATAAAAATAAAAATAAAAATGCTTTGTAGAGATAAGGACCCACTATGTTGCCCAAGTTGATCTCAAACTCCTGGCCTCAGGCAAATGGCTCTGAAAGTCTATGATCTGAGCCTGCTTAATCTGTTTTGTCTATTTATACATAAATTAATTTTTTAGGCCGGGCGCGGTGGCTCAAGCCTGTAATCCCAGCACTTTGGGAGGCCGAGACGGGCGGACCACGAGGTCAGGAGATCGAGACCATCCTGTCTAACACGGTGAAACCCTGTCTATACTAAAAAAAATACAAAAAACTAGCTGGGCGAGGTGGCGGGCATCTGTAGTCCCAGCTACTCGGGAGGCTGAGGCAGGAGAATGGCGTAAACTCGGGAGGTGGAGCTTGCAGTGAGCTGAGATCTGGCCACTGCACTCCAGCCTGGGCAACAGAGCGAGACTCCGTCTCAAAAAAAAGAAAAAAGAAATTAATTTTTTAAATTTATTTTTTGTTTTAGGTAGTTAATACATTTCATATAGCTGAAAAATAAAAATAGTATAAAAAGGTATATTTCTCATTTCCATTCCCCTATCTCTTATAGGCAATCACTATTATTTCTTGTTATCTTTTCGGTGCTACTTCATACAGAAGCAAAGCAAAATAAGTATGTACTCTTAATTGCCCATTTAAAAACTTTTAAAAATGTGAAGTGATAACATATGCAGAAAACATAAAACATAAATGTGAAATGCACAAAACCTAAGTGTCAGCTCAGTGAGTTATGACAAAGCCAACACTTGTGGACTCATCATATATAGAACTAATATTCCAAGAAATAGAATGTTGTCAGCATCTGAGAAGTTTCTCTTATGGCCCCGCCCTTCTTCCCAAAGGAGAAGTTAATTATATTAAGTTGATTTATAGCCCTAGAGTTTAGTTTTGCTTTTTTTAATCTATGTAGTCTTTTGGTCTGGCTTTTTTTGTTCAGTATTCTTGAGATTTATCCAAATTGTTGTGTGTAACCCTAATTTGTTTTTCATTGTTACATAGTATTCTGTCGTATGAACATACCACAATTAAGTGATCCATTTTACTGTTGTTGGATACTTGGGTTAGTTATTATAAGTATAGACTATACTGCTATGAATATTCTTTTACATGTTTTTGGTACTGCAGGCATACATTTTGTTGGGTATGTAGCTAGGAGTGGAATTACTGGTTCATGTGGTATGTGTACGTTCTACCTCAGTAGATAATGTCAACCAGTTTTCTCTAGTGATGGTTTTAAGGGCTGTTCTGCCTCAGTTCCATCCTTATTCCTTGGATTTGGCCCTTTAAGGTTCCATCTCAAATTACATGACAGTTTACCAGGCCTTCAAGTTTTGTCCTCCTACTCGATAAGGTTGTCAAATGACTTGCTCAGCTTCTCAGCCTTTCAGTTACTTCTTTGAGAATTAGTAGGATGCCCTAAGGGGAAAAGGGACCAGCCAACCTCTCTGAATGAACTTAGCGTGTAATTCTTCATTCTTATGTTTGCTCTCTGCTCTCTGGTGCTTTCATATATTTTGCTTTTGTTTAAATGTTTTATCTATTTTTTCAAGTTCTCAGTGGAAGGATTGGTCCAATTATTTAGTTTGCTGTAACCAGAAGTCCCTTTCCTCCACATTTCTGATGCAAAAAGTAGCACACTACATACACTATTGTGTGTTTTGCTTTCTTTGTTTAAGAATATATTATGAAAATCAGGCCGGGCGCGGTGGCTCACACCTGTAATCCCAGCATTTTGGGAGGCCAAGGCAGGTGGATCACCTAAGGTCAGGAATTTCAAACCAGCCTGGCCAACATGTCAAAACCCCATCTGTACTAAAAATAGAAAAATTAGCTGGACGTGATGGTGCAAGCCTGTAATCCCAGATACTCAGGAGGTTGAGGCATGAGAACCGCTTGAACCTGGGAGGCAGAGATTACAGTGAGCTGAGATTGCACCACTGCACTGCAGCCTGGTTGACAGAAAGAGAGACTCCATCTCAAAAAAAAAAAAAAAATTATGGAAATCTTTCCATATCACTATACATGGAAAAAAGGTTTTACCCCATGTATTGCATGTTTATTTCACCCATCCTCTATTGATGAATATTTGAGTTGTTTGTAGTATTTTGCTACTTCAAGTAATGCTGCATTTGAATAATCTTATACATACTTAATTTGATGAGCAGATATATCTTAGGATGAATTCCCAGAATTGGGCATGATGGGAAAGGATAAATGTTGTTTGTAATTTTGATATATGTCCTACATACAGGTTGAACTATTTGCACTTCAATCCATATATGAAAGTGCCAGTTTCTTGACATTTGCCAACACAGTACTGTCAAGCTTTATGGTTTTGCTAATTTGACAGATGTAAAAGTTATATCAATTTAGTTATTTTGTTTTATTTTTATTTTTAGAGATGGGATTTTGCCATGTTGCCCAGACTGGTCTCGAACTCCTGGGCTCAAGCTATCCTAACGTGCTGGGATTACAGCATGAGCCACTGTGCCTGGCCATTGTCAGTTTAGTCTTAATTTGCATTTCTCTCTTATAAGTGAAGCTGAACTTTTTTTTCTCTTTTTGTAAGTTGTCTGATCTTGCTCTTTGCCCATTTCTGTTGGGTTCCTGGAAATTGTCTTACCAATTTCTACTATTGTTTTGAAAATATGTTAGGGAGATTAGATCTTTCTTTATTTGCAATATGTCTGATTAGGCATTATCTCATTGTATCCTTATAATAACTCCTTTGTGAGGATGTTATTAAACTTTCCACTTAACTGATGAAGAAATTGAGGTAAAGTAAGATTAAGCAACTTGCCCATAGTCACAAAATAAGTGATGAAAGCATGGTTTGAACTAGGTGTCTCTGAATCTATGCTTGAGCTTTCAACAAAAGTTATGAATTGCCTTCCCAGTGTAGTACAGGAAGGAAAAAAATTTGTCTTAAATTTCCCTTTATTTGCCTAAAATTTCCCTATTTGTCTGCCTTGCTTTTCTTCTCTTCCTTTTCTTTCTTTCCTTTCCTTTTCTTTTTTTTCTTTCTTTCGTTGTAAAAATATTTAGCTCCTATTATGTACCAGGTGCTGGAGAATCAATATTAGTAACTAATAGTATAAGCCCTCAAAAGGCTCATATTCTAGAAAAGGAAGACAGTCACAAAAAGTTACAATGTTATACAATAAATTTATTAGGGGAGGAGAGTGAGTTTCATGGAAGGCTTTATAAAGGAGGTGACTTTTGAGTTGGGTATGGAGGATGATTTGGAAATCTAGATAAAATGAGGAAGAGCATTCCAGACAGAGGAGACAGCTTGTACAACATTTAGCATTGTCTCTTTCCAGCTTTGTAAGTTATCCTGTAATATTTGAGAATTTAGTGAGTAGTTAGGCCTTCATGATTTTATAGATTTCAATATCATTTCTTATTTATGAAAAATACTAATACTTTTAATGAGCTTCACGCCTTCCTATTAGTATCTCACTCCTATTTTCTCCCTTCTCCTTGTCTAGTGGGGGCCCCTGAAGCCACTGATGGAAGCCACACTACCTGGGCATCGGACCATGAACCCCTGTCCTGTATGGGAACGGAAGAGTGGTTGTGTGTTCCTGTTCTTCATCTGTGTGCGGGGCCATGTCACAGAGCGTCAACAGATTGTATCAGGCAGGAATGCTGCCCGCCTTTGCTTCATCTGCAGTCAGGATGCTGGATGTTCATGGAGTGAGGTGAGGGACTTGACTGAGGAGGTCATTGGCTCAGAGCTGAAGCACTGGGCCACGTTTGCTGTGGGCCCAGGTCATGGCATCCAGCTGCAGTCAGGGAGACTCGTCATCCCTGCATATACCTACTACATCCCTTCCTGGTTCTTTTGCTTCCAGCTACCATGTAAAACCAGGCCTCATTCTCTGATGATCTATAGTGATGACCTAGGAGTCACATGGCACCATGGGAGACTCATTAGGCCTATGGTTACAGTAGAATGCGAAGTGGCAGAGGTGACTGGGAGGGCTGGCCACCCTGTGCTATATTGCAGTGCCCGGACACCAAACAGGTGCCGGGCAGAGGCTCTCAGCACTGACCATGGTGAAGGCTTTCAGAGGCTGGCCCTGAGTCAACAGCTCTGCGAGCCCCCACATGGTTGCCAAGGGAGTGTGGTAAGTTTCCGGCCCCTGGAGATCCCGCATAGGTGCCAGGACTCTAATAGCAAAGATGTACCTACCATTCAGCAGAGCTCTCCAGGCAGTTCACTGAGGCTGGAGGAGGAAGCTGGAACACCGTCAGAATCATGGCTCTTGTACTCACACCCAACCAGTAGGAAACGGAGGGTTGACCTAGGTATCTATCTCAACCAGACCCCCTTGGAGGCTGCCTGCTGGTCCCGCCCCTGGATCTTGCACTGTGGGCCCTGTGGCTACTCTGATCTGGCTGCTCTGGAGGAGGAGGGCTTGTTTGGGTGTTTGTTTGAATGTGGGACCAAGCGAGAGTGTGAGCAGATTGCCTTTCGCCTGTTTACAGACCGGGAGATCCTGAGCCACCTGCAGGGGCACTGCACCAGCCCTGGTAGGAACCCGAGCCAATTCAAAAGCAATTAATTGGCTTAGGACCCAATTTCCATAGATGCAAATGGCAATTACAGCCAGGTTAACAGAAGCTACTGAAGTCTACAGAGAATCAAAAAACTTAATATTCTGTTCCCTACCTTTTTTCACTTCTCCCCCTCCAAAGAGCAAAATGAAAATTTTGCCTTAGCTACTGCAGTGGAAAGAGCACTGAACTAGGAGTTCAAAGACCAGGACGTGGTTCTGGCTCTGCCACTGGCTTGCTTTTGGACCCTGGATGTGTCACCTGAACTCTTTGGACCTCAGGTTTCCATCTGTAAAATGAGAGTATTGGTTCTAAGATTTCTTATCTTCTCATCCTTAGGAGAAGCATAGTGCCTGCATCCTTCATGGTCAGTAAGTCCTGGCTGTATAGAAGACTCTGATGTCAAAATGGAAATCAGAGGACTTATCTTTTCACATGACTTACCCCTTTTTCAAGTGTGAGGTTACAGGCAGGTGTCATGGCAGGAAGGAAGACCAGATCTATATGATTTGTTCCATTTTTAATAACAAAAATATCCACACCCTTCTAATAATGGTCAGAGCTCTGTAGGCACTCTATCCTAGAGGAATTAAGCAAAACAGAAGAATCATGAAGTCTCCTACCTTCTACAGCTTTGTAGTTCTGTTTACCTTCTCTTCCTCATCCAGAAACATCATTTTCTAGGGAGGACAATGAGAATCTCAGTGCCAGTAGTACTGGATAATAGTGTGTATTGCTTCTGGTGGCATTACCCTGATGAAGGATGGGCTTAAGTTCATTTATTAGGATGTTCCCGATGGGAAAAGGACATGGATTAGTACTTTAAAACACTGGACAGAATTTCCCACAGTCTCTGCCCTCAAGGAGTTCACCAGTTTATGGGGCTAGAAGAGGGAGAAAATTCAAGAAAATAAATGTAGCTGGTGGGAGAGTTTGTAGATGTTGGGCTATATGTTGGGGTGATGGTAGCTCCTGATGTAATTTTCTTAGTTGCATCTTCAATGTGCCTGGAGTCATCTGTCCAAGGCTTGTTCAGGCTTCTGGGTTTGTTTTTTTTTTGTTTTGTTTTTTCTCAGGATATTGTCCTGGCCCAGCTACTCCTTTACCTGTGAGAAGATCTTCACCATTAGGAAGATCTCTGGACCCCCAAATCTCAGAATCAGGCCTATTTGTATAGGCCCATGGAAATCACTACTTGTGAAGTAGGGATGCCTTTTTGTCTAATGATTTTCATGCTGAACTTAGTCCATGCTGAGTCTCTTAGATGATACCACGTTGGTTGTTCCTATCTTAGATTGTTTCCCCCATAGCCTGTTCTTGCAACAGAAATTCTATCATGAGAGGTTTATTTTTTGTACCTATTTTAGGAGGCTAATGCTTAAACTGGTATCAACTAAATATATTTGGTGTTGTATAATGACCACAGAGAACAAGTCTTAGTCATGAAATATAGCCTAGGAGGCTAGGGGTTACTGTTGCACTAGTTGGGTAGAGAGTCCTACAGGATGAAAGTTGAGATTAACTTTACCTACTTTAGCAGATTGCTTAAGCCATGGCTTAGAGTGGCTTTTAAAAATCCCCTTAGCCTCTCCTACCTTTGCCAAGGTAATCTTCCCAATACACAATTATTTATTCACTCATGCATACATTTATCTAAATATTTCTTGAGTGCCTAATACAAGGTACTTTCTACTGCCATTCCTTGGCTCTAAATCATTTGTGGTTCCCTATTGCCTATTATAATGTAAAGATGTTTACATTTAGCCTGACATGTAGGACCTTCCAGCTGTTGAGTGAAATAATGCACACTTTACTCTACTTCCTTATATGAGGCCCAGTGTCAGGGAAAACCTCTGTCAAGTTGACAGGTGGAGGGTGGTGGTGGTCTAGGGATGGGCAGGGTTAGTGCAGGGAGGAATTGGGGAAGGGGAGAGGATTAAAAGGGCAGCCCCCTCCTAAGTGGTAGAAACTCCTTGTTAAGCAAAGCTTTCCTGAGCACTGTACTGTAAGTGGATAGGAATAGGGAGGATGGCCAAGTCCTATAACCAGGGCTAAAGGATGAAAAGAATGAGAATATCAACTTCTTTAGTACTACTCAAGAAGGGAATCAAGGCAGGGACCTTGGTCCTGTGCCATTGTGACCCAGAGATGTCTAATACCAGTACTCATAAGAGGTCCATCTCTAAATTGCCCTCCTCTTACTTCTTCCCCCTACCTCATGTTTTTTCTCTTTAATGACTAGCATCGAAGCTCTTTAATTGGGGGAGGCCTATGTGTTTATCTCAGGAATAGTAAGAAAAGGGAATTGGGAACAGGGGAAATCCAGAATAAGGACTTGAGAGAGGAGCAGAGTGGGTGATGGCAGCTGTGAAGAAAAAGAACAGATCAGAAGAGTCCTGGCACCTTAGGAAGAAAAAGTGTCACAGACACGAGGCCTAGGCTGGAGAGATGATGTAGGTGGTAGCTGCTGTGAAGAAGAAATGACAACAGGCTGGAGCTGTTCCCTGAAACCTGTGGAAAGGAAGAGAGACCTGCACAGGCTGGCACTTAGCTTGTGGAGAAGGTCCTAACCCAACACTGCAACTTTAAGCTGGCTTAACTTGTCCAAGTTCCAGATGACCAACAAAGACAGCTATAGACACTCCAACTCTGTGCCCATTACCCAACCTGGGAGCTATTCCATGATACTGGTACCCTAAGTGAACCCATTTCAGCCACTCAGATTGACAGGGTGGAAAAGACAGGGCAGGTGGTAGCAGCTGTGAAGAAAAGAGGAAAGAGACAGGTAGCCTGTCTACAGGCATGTAGAGAGGACTACATAGGCCTCAGTCCTTTGCCCTCAGGAGCCCCCTTCCTGTCCCTTGGACTCTTAGAATGGATCCTTCCAGCACACATGGCCCAACACTGAGAGTGCAGGAAGCATGGGTAGGGGCCTCCTGCTGCTGGTATATACCCAGGCCAGCCTCCTGCCGACACAGCCTACTGGCTGTGTTCATGTTCTCACTATTCACCTTAGGCCATTGTCTGGGTACTTAATTTGGACTTGTTTCCCCTGGTCACCAGTCTCCCCTCAGATATTCACAGGACGTCAAGTAGCTTCAGCCATGGGTAAGAGGTTTTTCACTCTGCCTGTTGGGTAGCCCAAAGGACCCACAAAGGTCAACCTGAGGCTGCACAGCCTCCTCCCCAGGGCAGTAGAAATTGATACCTCACTTTCGCCAGATTAGGCTTCTCACTCTTCTCGAGTAGGCCATAATCCACCTCTTCAGTAGGCCACGCATCCGTCTCTGCAGTGCCAGAATTCACAGTCTGGGCCTCCCTTTGGTCCTTACCATAGGCTGCCATGTATTATTGTCTATGTTGTGCCCTTTAGGCCTCTGCTAGGCTGTGAACTCCTTGACTGACTCCTCACTGTGTCCTTTATACCTTGAATCACAGTGGCTTATCTAAAAGTATAAGCTTTTTTTCTATCGTATTCTGAATTCTCTGAAGGTAAGGACTATGTCTGATTCCTCTCTTTGTCCTCTGCACCCAGCATAGGGCCTGAAACAGAGTAGCCAGCAGTAAAGATACACTGAATGAATGAATGAGTCAACGATCCTTGGCCTCTGGAGCTAATTGAGAAGGCCAGGGGCAGTTCCGCTTTAGGGAGAAGGATGTTGCATCCCTTTGTAGATTGTGTAGCATTCAAAACCTGCTGAACACTCACCCTCAATGTGTATTCTCTGTTCTGGCCTGCTTCCAGGTCAGTTATACACTTCCTGGGATGGGCCTTTCTCTGGCTTAGGCTTGGTTGTCCCTGGCTTTCCCAAGGATCACAGCCCAAAAGGTGCAGTGGGGAAAATGTATGGCCTATTCGAGAAGAGTGGGCAGCCTAATCAAGCCAAGCCTTGATTTGGGGTTCTCACTTCACTGGTATTTTCCCTTTGTCCCCAATTGAATTTTCTGTAGTTACAACTTTTCCAGGCTTCTAAGGGAGTTGCTGAGGCTCGATGTGTTCTGACTATGTCTTGGCTTTGTGATACTGAGCGCCAGAAATACTCTGTACTATGAAAACTACCATCATTCTTTGAAACAACAAAGAGGAATAAAGAACTTAATTCTGGTGACTATTGTTTTTTTTTTTTTCTTAAATTGTAAGATGATTATTATACTAATATCTAGTTTGAGGCAATTTCTTGGTTTCTCATAAGAACTTTTACTCTCAGAAACTTTACTAATGATAATCCTTTGGACTTTTACACATTGTTATTTGAACATAATTACCTATTAAGGGAAGCAGAACAGGGATTACAATGCCTAGTTATGGAGCACAATCTCATACACTAGCTTTTAAGAGGAGGAGCCAGAGGTACAGAGTCACCACTGACACCAAAACTGGTGCTTGCCACTGCATCACTTAACCTTTTTTCAAAACACCTTGAGATTATTCCCAACTTGTAGCTGAAGGGGCCACAAATATTTATTACTAGCCAAATCAAGTGGAATGATAGCTTTAACTTAACTGCTAATTTTTACTTGACTTTGTTTGTTCCATTGAGATGTTTAAGGCACTACTGAATTTGGCCAAATGTTTCAGCATAAGCTCTGTTAGTAGGTCAGTCTGCTCTCTTAATTTCACTATTGGAAAGCTTTCAGGCTGGGCATGGTGGTTCATACCTGCAATCCCAGCACTTTTGGAACACTGAATCACAGAAAAACATCTTTGGCTGGTGGAGAATGCCTGTGTCAGTAGAAAACTGAAAGAAGGGAGCCAGGCAGAAACTGATAAGGGTTGAGAGGCGGCAAGAGTCCTGATGATAGCCAGTAGGGTCCTTCACTGTTGTGGGAACCAGTGACCTACCAGCGTTTATTTCTTAAGCTAGCTTGAATTTTATTTATATATATATATATAGCTTTCAACCAAAAGAATTTAAGTACCCATCCTCACAGAAAACTTGATTAATTGGTACCTAAACCTGTTAGTCACTACCTGGAACTGAAATGTAAGCCATGAGGAGTTAACTTTTTTTTTTTTTCCTTTGTTTCCTCTGTTGCCTCAAGAAGTCTTGATAGAATCCCCACTTGCTCATTGCCTGGCTTGGGTGTTACAGCTACCTTGATCTCCTCTCTGGTTACGTTGTATGTAGTTTGTAATCCATCTTCATCCTCTTTGCTTATAAGTGCCTTTTTGAGGTGTGGCTTTGAGACTGCTTTATCAATATCATGATCTGGCAGTGTTGACAAAGATTCCTTGGTTGATTGATAGTCCCTGAATGACGTGTCCAGTTTCCATCTGCATGCATTTACAACCATGCAGAGGTTTGGGGACTTAGTGGGTGATAATTCCTCACATCCTCGTAGCCTAAATACTTTGAGGAAAGGAAACAGTTCCTCACCATGTTCCTCAGTCAGGCGTCTTCCAACCCTCAGGAACCTCACGATGTCACGACCTACTCCAGGCAACAAAGCTGCATGGTTGAAACCTTCCTCAGTGAACCTATGCATTATCACATATGGTGTCATTTCAGAAAATGTGGCAATGAGTTTAAATTGGCTTATAAAGGCACACGGGGTCATCCCTAGGCTTGGGTCAGCATCAAGTTTAAAACAAAAGTATGTGATTTTGATGTCAAGGCCTTTGCATGCTAACCATGATGCAGCCTCTTTAAAGTCAAGCGCAGGATCTAGATCAACTGACAGAGATACCTCCAGACCTGACAGCAGATAGTAGAGCATTAAACCTTTTGGTGATTTGTTGCTTTGGATTGCCACTCAGCTTGCACACAATGTAATATATCAGAAGACAGCTTTAGCGACTTTGCACTTGTGTTGAAGTTGCTCATTTTGTTCCAGTCAGCCATGAACCATGGAGCATTTTGACCCTCTTTTCCCATGATTGATCTGTCTGGAGTAGTGAATTCTTTAAGCTCTGGAACGACGGTATAAAGTTGATCAAAAGTAGCAATGAACATTGTGATAGTAACTGACACAGTACCTCCCAAAGTGAAAGTTTGCTCTTGGAATTGAAGCAAGACCTATGCAACAGGCAGCATACACATCTTAAGTGGTAGGCAACACAATCACAGGTTGATCAACTTCGCTAAGTTCTAGTGGCGTGTTTGCAGGTTCCGATCACTATGAGCTTTAAAGGCTTTGTTAACCTGTTGGTGATGTCGCATGAAGATTGTCCAAGAAATTACTTTAAATACTAAAGTTTAATGAACACTATTACCTACCAGTACATTACCAGGAGAGACACTGGGCTAGAACAGAGAGAGAACTGGACTAGGAGGGGCCAGGAGTTCAAGGTCCTTGTCCTAGAGCTTGTCAGTAACCTGATGGATGACTTTGTGCAAGTCACTGGCCCTCCTGGGAACCAGTTGATTCGGCTCTATCATGAGCACAACCCTTGCCCAGCCCCTTCACCAGAGAGTGGTGTAGATCTGATGAGCTAGTGAATCCTCAGAAGGGTTTAGCAAACAGTGAAGTGTTGTGTCAATAGGAAGAAGATAAATTGCCATCCTCCCTTTGATCTCCATTATCCTTCAGCACTGGCAAGGTTTGACAGTTGGATGCTAAAAATGAGAGTGATGCAGAAAGTGGGGAGGAAGGCAGGGCCCACTGAGGAGGGCACTCCAAGGTAGATGGCCATCATGCCTTGCCTCAGTCCATCCTTAGCAACTGCAGGCCTGATGATTTTCACCAACCTTCTGACTGTGCCCCAGACCTTTTGCTCCCCTGCTATGAGGAACAACCCAGCCTGGGTATGGAAGAGGGAAATCTCAGCCCCAAGTAGTTGGGAAGGGACTTGGTCTAAGTGGTCTCTGTCCTCTGTGCCTACCACAAGGCCAGGCATATTACAGTATAGGAAGAAGAGTTCAAGGGGAATAACATTTGTAAACTGCCTACTATGTGCTTTGGGTTATACATTCTCTCACTTAATTCAATAAGCCTGTTTAGAGCTAGAAAAACTGAGCTAGAAAAACTGAGATTCAGCAAGGTTACACAATATGTTCCAATGTCACACAACCAGTAAGTGTGACAAAAACCTCTGTTTTTGTCATACAGCAAAGAAGAGGCAGAACTGAGGGGCAGTGCTTACCTTGCAGGTTGATATGAGGCAGAGATAGTGCCTGTTAAGTCCTTGGAACATGGTGGACATTCAGCAGCTGGTAAGAGGCAGCTGATGAGGCAACTGTAATAATGTGTCTTAGCGTGCACTAGAGTCGCCTCTCAAACCAAAGGTTTTCCCCTTCCATTTTATCCAAGAGAAATGCATTCGTTTCTCTCCTCAGAAGCCCAGACCTAGCTGGAGATTATTTTCCAGTGCCCCCAACCTTCAGATCAGATGGCTTCCAAGACTCAGAGTCATCCTAAACATAGTTTCTGTTGTCACCAACTAGGAATAGAATCAGAAACGAGAACCTGGATTATCTTAAGGGGTAAACAGAACTTGATAGCAGATGAAGCTGACTTAGTGCCAAGTGACACGAGGCAGATCTCTGAGTCACAAGTTGGAGATAGATTCTGTTTGGGACTACAGCCAGTAACCCTGTCTCTGCCTTTCCCCACTATGAGGCAGTCTCTGAAGCTGTACCCAGTGGCCAGGTCTCAGCCCACCATTGCAATGTGGATGGTCCTTCACATGTCATCCCTAATCCTCACAACAGCCAAAGAAGCAAAACATTGTCCCCAGCCTGCAAATCAGGAAACTGAGCCTTGGAAAGATTGAGTCACTTGGGAAAATATCTTTATAAGTTTTTCATCTGTAAAAACTAGAATAGGCTGAGCATGGTGGCTCACGCCTGTAATCCCAGCACTTTGGGAGGCTAAGGTAGGTGAGGAGTTCAAGACCAGCCTGGGCAACATGGTGAAACCCTGTCTCAACAAAAAAAAAATACAAAATTTAGCCAGGTGTAGGGGCACACACTTGTAGTCCCAGCTACTCGAGAGGCTGAGGTGGGAGGACCACCAGAGCCCAGGAGGTTGAGGCTGCTGTGAGCTGTGATTGTGCCATTGCATTCCAGCCTGGGCAACAGAGTGAGACCCTGCCTCAAAAAAAGAAAAAAAGAAAAATAAAAATACCTTTTATCTCTGAGTCACAACTTGGAGATAGATAAAACTTTTTTAGATAAAAGTTTAAACCTTTGGCACATAGAAGGTGTTCAAAACATGGGAGCTGCCCTGATCATTATTTTTTCTTATAGTAATCATACTAGCCCATAATGTGTGCACAATGTGTATGTGATGGTCTGGATATATGTGTCCTCCGCAAATTCATATGTTGAAACCTAACACCCAAGATGATGGTCTTAAGAGGTGGGGTCTTTGGGAGGTGATGAGGTCACGAGGGCAGAGTCCTCATCAATGGGATTGGTGACCTTATAAAAGACCCAAGGGGGCTTGTTAGCCCCTTTGCCCTTTAGTCATGTGAGGATACAGCAACAAGGTGCCATCTGTGAGGCCGAAAGCAAGCCATCACTGGGCACCAAATCTGCTGGTAGCTTAATCTTATACTTTTCAGCCTCCAGAACTCTGAGCAATAAGTGTCTGTTTAAAAATTGCCTAGTATAATGTGTTTTTGTTATAGTAGCCTGAACTAAGACGTGTTAGCAATACCTTCAAATTTATGTGTGCATATGAATCACCTGTAGAAGTTTAAAAAAAAAAAAAAAAAGCTTCCTGGCCTCACTGCCCCTCAAGCCTCCCCCTCCACAAGAATTTAATTCAGTAAATCTGGGATGGGATCTGAACATTTGCATTTGTAACAAGTTCCCAAATAATGCCGATGCTGCAGGTGCACAGACCACTCTTGGAGTAGAATTATGTTATGGTAGTTTCTTCTTCATCTATTGACTTACCTGCCTCCTACTCACACTCTTGCCAGCCTCATGAGGTAGGAGGAATACAGACTGTCACTACTATTGTTCCTATGGAATCAAGCTTCACTTCCCAAACAGGTGTCCAACTTGTGTCTCTGGTCTGTTAGTCAGCTGTATCCTTCCTGGTCAGAAATTTAGCTTTCTCATGACATAGTAATTACCTGGAATTCCTACTGATAGTCTTTCCAATAAAGGTAACATAGCATGAGCACGGATCTGGACAAGTGGGCACAGGATGCTTCACC